CCATATCTCATGGGATCTCTCTACACTCCTACACAGCTCAAATGACACCCCCCTCAACAACACATTGGCTGGCAAGGCCTATCTGAAACCCTCCAAATTACAAACCAGTTTTTGGACCACCAAATTAAGTTCCCCCACCTCTTCCTGTATATGCCTTAAATATAAGTGACCCAGTAGAAGCAGAATTTCTCTCCAACCTTGCAGCAAGGTATTATGAGCTCTATGAGCTCAAGGAATCCATTCTTGACAAAATCTGTCTGCTCATTTTCCTATTCTATATTAACATAGACTTTAATCCTTCTGGTCAATAAGGTTGTTATACCTCATCGGCTGGAATGGATTCCAGGTTGTAATAACTCATTGGCTGGAAGGGATTCCAGGTTTTTATACCTCATCGGCTGGAAGGGATTCTTTCAGGTCAATGACAACCTCACCTTCTGGTCAATGAGGTTGTTATACCTCATCTGTTGGAAGGGATTTCTTCTGTTCAATGAGGTATAACATTAACTAGAAGGAATCCCTTCAGGCCAATGAGTTTTTTGTTTCTCAGTGACTGGGGCCCGTCATGGGAGAAACTCCCAAATCCCCTCAAGCACGAGGGGTGGTGGTTTTGCCAAAATATCAAAAATTGAAATATAAATGGATGGCCAACTCCCAAAGTCAGCTATTGATTTGGAGGAATGACTCCTGCCCAAAGACCCCTCAACCAAAATGGGAGTCGTCCGTGGAAAATTTAGGGAGTTCTTTTTCCAACTCCCTATACTTATCCTGTTTATTTTCTGAAATAAGAGTGATATTCAACACATGTAGACAACCCCTCAACAAAAATGGAAGTCGTCCGTGAATTTTAGGGAGTCGTTTTTCCAACCCACTACACTTATTTTGTTTATCTCTCTTATGTATTTTCTGAAATAAGAGAGATATTCAACACATGTTTATTTACCATGCCTTGAATATCTTGACACTTTTCCCCAAATGAATAGTGTATCCATAAGGGGACTGCACTGGTCCCAGCAGCAGTGTGACCCCTGCTTTGTGATATTTAAGGGGATGACTCTTTCCATGAGATTCATCCCCCACACAATTATTACCATACCAACCCACCAGCCTTACTAAATATTACATTATAATATATAGTGAGTGGGGTTTTAAGTAGTATATTATCTAATCATTGTTGTATATTTCTCTTTATTATTCTTCCTATTACTTATAAATTACTGGTGGAATTTCACTCATCCTTGATTTCTCTTTTTTCTCATAAGTCACTCATTTTGTTTTGCCAAGTTTCTTTCTTGCCCTCATTCATTATGTTTAGTTTGCAAACCCACAACCTGAACAATTTGTATCTAGAATATTTAACCCTTCTAGACTACAGCTTAATAAAAAAAAAACATTGGTTCTTCATCCGTTTAAATTGTTCCTGAAGGAGCACTTAAGCCCTCCTTCAGTATTGTCTGGGAGCACATTAGCCCTTTTAGCAAGAACTCAAAAAGTAACTTTTCTTAGGCCTTTTTGCCATTTGAATTTTATCTTCTCTCTGATTTATCTTTAGCTTTACTCTTTTGCTTGGCCTCATTTGCCTTATTCAAATTCCATTGATGAAGACTGTACATCGTCTTTCCAGTCATCAAGACTGTACACAAAGCAACCAGATTAGTTTAGTAACACATGTAGGACACCAGCTGGTGTCCTACATGGGTTGCTGACACATTTTTGCAGCCCAACACACCCAAAAAAGGGAGTGTTGGATCACCAATGATAAATTAAATTCTTCAGGGGAAGGATTCCCAGGGCGGGTGTAAGGCGGATACCCGGGTACCTGCCTTTTTTTTACCGCAAATGTTGACACCCGCACCTGCACCTGTTTTTACCACAAATTTTGACACCCACACCCGTTTCCGGGTACCCGTAAAGGGCTACCGGGTACCTGCAAACGGATATCTGCTGACATCTCTACTCTGAGATAGGGCATCAAGAAAATTCACTCAACAGTGAATTAGCAATATTTAACAGAAAATTTTTTCAATCCAAGGCCATGTGCATCTTTGAGGCTGTGGGATTTTGTTGGGCTGGGTCATGGTATCCAAGATTTGAAATGAAAAAAAAATACAAATATAAATGAATCAACATGATTTTTTTCCATTTCAAATCTTGATTACCATGACCCTGCCCAACCTGAGACACATCATCTTGGATTGAAAATATGTTTGGTTGGACACCCTTTCTGATGGGCTATTTTTTGTAGCCCAGTTACTGGGTTATAATCTGACTCACTGGACCCTAGCATATATAGCCTGAGGACACAAGTTTGTTTTAAAAATCATCAATTTTGTCACAAACCATCTCACTGCCAAATGGGGGCACATACCATAGCCAGCTTGGAGCTGCCGATTTTCAATTTTCTCAGCAGTAATCAATTTTGTCAAAAAACATGTACCATAGTGGTTCATTTTTGCCACAACCCAAGATACTGTTTTTGCACATTTGCTACCATTTGTGGAAACAGCCCCACCCCCATTTGCAAAAACGCTCTGGTGCTCTTGAGTCTTGTCTCCAAATCGTCTCAATATCTACTCTACACAACATTGGAAGACTTCCCATCAATCTGGAAGTCCTTCCAGATCCAGAGCTGGAATCCTAGATTCCAGGATCCCAGATTTTTCCCAGATGTACTTTTCTGTCATCCTCAAGTTCCATATCTAAGCAGCTCCTGTTCTTCACTTGGCTCCAATCATCTCAATCTTAGCCAGTTGTTGGGCTCGCCTTGTTTGGGTTAGACATGTTGGAATGTTGGATTGTTGGATGCCAATATATGTTATATCAACCAATCAATTTGGAAAGCTGGGAGTGGATGATGGAAACCCTACCATAGATTTAGAAGGCGGACCTCCCCGGGGCACACCAAAAAATCTGGGAGAATTAATTCCAGATCTGGATCTGGGAGGGCCTTCCAGATTGATGGGAAGTCCTCTCTTGATCTCCAAAATGCCTCTCAATTGCACTCATCACTCCAACACCATCCCTCAAATGCCAATCAACTAAGGCATTATCCCAGGGTTCAGGACGGGGCTGGAGGGGCGTCCCGAGGCACGAACTCCGGGGCTTCAGGGCAAAACTCTGAAGCCCTGGGGTTTTTTACTTCTTTTTACTTTTTTTACCAGCCATGTGTACACGTGGCGGAAGCGTCTACAGACTTGGGCTCAATACCAGAATGAAGCGGAAAAAAACATAAAACGGAACGTCAGCCTGCTGGTCAAACTCGGGAAATCATTGATGTTGACGAGATTCAATTTGAAGCCAGTCAAGATAGCGCGGAGCCAGTTCCAACAAGCGCAGTTGGTTCTGGAATCATTTCAAAGAACGCAATGGACAAGCTGTCTGTCAGGTCATAACAAACAGCCTGCACCAAAAATATAAGGTATCAAAAGTGAAATTGTTCACTACTTGAAGAAAGATGTTGAAACCTGAAATGCCGATGTCCTTTCTTTTTGGGCATCACATTAAAAATCACTCCCCAAACTCAAACTTATGGCTCATCGATACCTCTCAATCCCTGCCACCAGTTTGGCATTGGAACGTGTCTTTTCCACTGGCCACCTGGTTGTCTCATGGCAAAGATCATCCTTCAAGCCATCAACAGTTGAAAACCTGCTGTGCCTGAAGGATTGGTTCCAGGCGTTTGAAGGCCCATTATAAAATTATTGTTAATTTATTACTGTCTTGCCTTATTTTCCTTCTCAAAAATGAAACCTTGCAACATATTTCTGATCAAAAAAAAAAAAAAAACTTAATACCTGGAAACCCCGGGGCTTCGGGGCTTCTGTGAGGCCTGTCCTGAGTCCTGGCCCCCGGGGTTCAGGGCCGGGGTAAACCCCTGAACCCCGGCTTTTGAGATAATGCCTTATAATCAACCAACTTGCTTCAGGACCCCGGAGAGCCCCTACCAAGCCACCTAATGTAAAACCCGTGAAATCTGATTTTTTTGCTACCTGGGAATTTCTGTTTTTGGGGGGCAAATGCATGTTTTGCTACCTCCAACATCAGTGTCCTATCTGTCTTTTTTGAAAGTTTTTTCAATAAATTTTCCTATCATGCATAAATTTCATTTTTTTTTCATCCTTGTGTAAAATCTGATCATTTCATGCATCAATTTCAACCGGTGGACAAATTGCTACCACATACATGAGGATCATTTGCTGCTTTTTTTTTGCTACCTTTTTGCGAATTTACATCAGGGACATTTTGGAAAAAAAATCTGTTTTGCTACATTTTACATTAGGCGGCTTGGTTGGGGCTTTCCAGCGTCCTCTTGCTTCTCTATTTGATTTTTATGTTCTTTCTTCATCAATAGGGCAGTTCACATTCTGCTTATGTTGACCATCAGCAGTCAAACCTAGTTAGAATGCCTATCTTAAGGTTTATGGGAAAGCAACAGTCTAGTGGGAGGTTTCCCTTTGGAGTCAAAATCCCACAATTAAAATTCAAAAATTTTATGCATCAGCAAACAAACCTTATGCCACAGCAGCTAGAGTTTTGGTGCAATGCAAACTGCCCTGATAAAACAATAGAAAGGCCTCAGTCTATTGAAAAGTAAACCAACAACCCATTTTGTGTCCATAAATCAATTGCTACTTGGTCCAATAGACATGGTTTTTTATTTCAATGGTGCAACCAAGTCATATCCCTTTATTCTTTTTTCAGGATGAAAGTTCAACTGCAAAAAGAAAACATGAAAAAGAAAAAAGAATTACAAAGGTATTGAAGGGAGGGTAAGATGAAGATGGAGTGTGAGCTGTGGTGATGGGTAGTTGGTATGTAGATGAAGTTCAAGCAGTGCCAGGTGGAAGCTAGCAAAGTGGAAGATTGGGCTGTGGCCCACATTTACTCAAAAAGTGGTCTTGGATTCCATTTACAGCTATTTCGGAAAGGGTTGTCCAGTTGTCTCTCAAATTTTTTTTTTTTTTTTGAAAATTTTTAAATTTTTCTTTGTACTGAACTACAGCCGAGGAGGTACAGCTGTCATCGATAGTTCAGTTCTGACAGGTCCAGTTCAGTAAAAAAATAAAAAATAAAAAAAATAAAAAAATAAAAAAGATTTCGCGAGTCCAAGTGGACAACCCTTTCCGAAATAGCTGTAAAAAGAAGCACAAAAAAAATATTGAGAAACAATTTTCAAATTGGAAAGGGCATGGTTCACAACCTGAATTGGCTTGAGAGCATCTCCACCACAGTCCCTAAATCGGGTCCCTATCCCACATTTAGGGACCGCAGCCCAAAAAACGCCACCCATCACAGTCCCCATTGGCGTCCATATTTTACGGATTTCATCCTCAGTCCCTCTCCAGACCCTGGATTGACCAAGGACTGTACACATCAATGTGAATGTCACACAAGATCACACCACAACCTAGTGTGACAACCGGTCAACACTACACTGATACCGGCGATTTGAGGACTGCCCGGTGTGGCAGAACAGGGTTCCGGGTCCCTACACACATTTCCAAGTCCATATTTTTGATTGATAGGAACCCAAAAATCAGGACCACAGTGGAGATGCTCTGATGCCCTATCTCAAATATAGAGTTTGTCACTTTTGAAATCCTCAACTTGTCCAATAAACTATGTATTGGATTTTCCTCTCAACAAATTGCCCACAATTATAAACTTTTTATTTCACACTTATGATCACATAACAGCTACACACAACTCAAATAGAAGAACAGATGTTGAAACAAAATATAAAAGCTGCATAATCCAAGTTCAAAGAATAGGAAAGAACAAAAAACAGTCAGCAATAAATTCCAAGTGAATACTGAGAATCAAATTCAAAGGGGTCAGAGTAAGCCTGTAAAATGGTTTAGTGGCAGGCAACTTCCACAGGGTTATTAGGAAGACCGTCGTGATAATTGAAAGAACTCATCATAAAGAGGGAAAAAAGACAAGATTAAATTGATGCAACTTACAAGGCCTCATCTATCAGGTACTGAACAAAACCTGGAACAAGATTAAGCAAATGTGAATTGAGCTGAAACAGGAGAGGAAGATGTTAGTTGTTTATTCAGAGGTCATAGAGCATTGTAAGAAGAACAATGAGGATCAGGTAAAAAAGCAGCATTTTCTCAACAATTGACAAAATAGTCTAATCTGACGGTAATTCCATATTTTTGCTAATATCATCTTAAGATAGAGAAAGAATGTGACAATCAAGTGTTTATAACTTACAGATTAGTGAGGTGTTCTTGATTTAAAAAATAGTAGATGGTTGATCTTAAAAGCTAATAATCCTAAAAAAAGGCAACAGTTAGTCAGTTATTGAGGTCCAGTTAGGGTTTGCTCTCCAAGTTGAAAGGTATTAAGCAACCAGATTGCCTCAGAGAGAAGATTATGGGATATAATCAAACTGGTAACAGCAGGTGTCACCAGCAATCAGATACTCTAGTTTGATTTGATACATTTTTGAGCATCTTTGGCAGGAAGATTGATGTTGGGGAAGAAAAGAAAGAAAGGAAATTGTTGTAAGATGAGGGAAAAAAAAAGACTAACCATTAAAACATTGATACTTGTGGATATCCTTATCAATCCAATAAGCTTGAGTCTACAATTATGACTACTAGTTTGAACTTGAGTGCAGTCTTGAGCTCCTTATGGTATAGCAGAGATACAAATTCAGACTGTCAGAGGTCGATGGTGGTCCAGTGGGCTGAATTAGAACTGCCTCCTCACAGCTGAAGTTGTGAAACAGGAACACTGGAAACTCGGTGAACCTCGAGAAAAGTCCTGCATGCCACACTCTTCATCAACCTCACAAGAACCATCGAACGAATAGGAACGAATTCTTGACATCTTGGACTCACAAGTAGATAGCGTTGAGAGATGTTTACAGGACTGATCGAGGTAAGTGGATTCCTGAGATATGTCCTCCTTTCCTCCCACAGGACCTGACCGTTGATTCTTATGGATACCAATCAGAGACTCGGAAGGGTCAAATCGCATTCATCGGACCATAGTACGATCACGATCCAAGTTCTAAGACGGGAGGAACTAACGAAATACCAAACTAGTCTCAACCCCGATCCCACATCGACGACAGCAAAGGATGATCAAGGGGTGCTCGAGTTCTTCAATGACATGAAGGAGGGCGACAGTATCTCGGTCGATGGCGTGTGCTTGACAGTCGTCGAGTTCTCTGTTGACGAGTCGTCGTTCGATCTTAACTTGGCTCCTGAGACTTTATCTCGTTCTAACTTAGGTTCAGTTTAATGTCTCCTTCTCTACGTTTTTTGGGGTACATACCGAGCTTTCTGACCGAGTGGCTATGTTCCTTTTTGCTGAACGATCTAGGTTCTCTGAAAGTGGATGATTTGGTTAACGTGGAAAGAGCATTATCGCCCTCAACTCGATTCGGTGGTCACTTCGTACAAGTCAGTAAAACAAAAACAAAAAAAACTTACCTTCTCATATTCAAAAAGCCAGAGAAGGCTAACGAAAGCAACACATGCTAATTGACGAATGACGGGTTCTTCCGATACTAGGGACACGTAGATAGAACAGGAACGATAGTTTCGAAGACCAAGGACGGAGATTCGATTCGGATGACGATAGAATTCGAGGAGGACTCTTGTGAAAGTTCAAAAGACGGAGGAGTCGAGGAAGGAACGACGAAGAAAGCCACCGAATATTCGAAATTTCTGATTCCGAAGGGCTACATCACCATCGATGGGATTTCACTCACGATCACTGGGATCGAGAACAAGGAGTCCATTCGACCAGGAACCACTCTCAAGAATCGATCGACTAGAGTCTCGATCATGCTGATCCCACACACCCAATTAAACGTCACACTCTCCCTCAAATCGATCATGTCGACCGTCAACCTGGAGTTCGATATGTTGGTCAAGACGATCATCAATGTGATCGAATACAGTCTCAGCGACCAACTCGATCGGATCATCAATCAGGCCCTCCGCTCTCAACTTGCCCAACTTGGCATCCAGCCCTCTTCTTCTCCTACTCAAGATCCCATTCCACCACAGCCTTTAGAGCTTGATTGATTTGTACCTTGACCTTCTTGCTGATGCTTTCTTTTCAAATCCTATCACTGTTTGTAACTCGCTCTTGATCCTTGGAAAACTATACGCAACTGAATACCTCGATTCCCTCCCTCCCCCAAATAAATAGTCTATGTATCTATCCAGTTCCCCGCAAATTCAATACCTTGGAATATATATATAAAAACTATACTTGTGTCTGATTACAATTATTTAAGGGCTCAGAATGAGAAAAGTCGGCTTTGGTGGTTACCGGCTTCAAGAGAAAAAAAGATACATATGTTGGAATGAAAGTTGGCTAGGGAATAAGCTTATAGTCGGATTGCAGACGCATATAACATTACTTAGAAAACAAAGAGGTTGGACGATCAGACTGAGTGAATACGAAGAGGGTTTAATTACCAATGTGCTTCAATTGCTATCATTCTCAAGTCACGCTATTTCTTATTTGTTCCTGATCACAATGTTACATCCTTCATGGTTCGAATTCGTCTCTAGACTTTTCAAGTTGGATAATAAGTTTTAGGATCAAATTTTACTGTTTATTTGTACTGCCGTGTTGGCAACATTTGCTGATGATAAATATTTAGCTTGGGAATCATAGCCACTGATCAGCTCTGGAGCGAGTGGTCTCATGGATTTCCTGAACATCTGCATCCAGTGTGCTAGTGAAACCAATCTTTGCAAGGAGAAGAATATGTAGTGTGAGATCCAAACGTGAGTTGGGCTAGTAACAGATTCATCCCACATTTTCAAAGGGCATGCTTTCTCCAAATATGTACAATGAAGTTGGTGGCAATTTGTAGTACAGTTCCCGTTGGAGTGGATGCATGGCCAAAGATCACCGAGACGAGATACATATCCCCCTTCGGGGCCCCCGGGTGAGCTGCCCTTCCAGCGCATCCATCGAAGGGAAACCACCAAAAAACGAGATCACATTCGACCACAACGCCGGCCAAAGACAGCAGCAGTCCCGTACACACATCTCACGATCGAGCGCCCATGATGCCAGGACCATCCACCCGAATCTACCTCGGCTGCCTCAAAAAGCTTTCGATCACACTCCTTTCACTCCAAATCAGCCTCGCCGTCGGGTTTGAAGACCATCCTCCTCCGAGCAATCAGGTCATTCATAACCGCCAGATCAAAGGAACTACGGAAGTCACCATTCCTATCAAAGGACATACCATCTATCCTCGTTAGTCCTCATTAATTTCAAAAAAAAAAAAACATACGGACTAGAAATACTGATTTACTTATGATTGTTTTTTCCATTTTGCGTGGTTTCAAATCTCGCCAGCTTTCGTAGATACAGATCTGCAGAATCGGTGGTTTGACTTTGGTGGTTCAGCAAGTAAGTGATCTTAATTTCTGAGGTTGTATGTTCTCTCTTTTTTTGTTCTTAAACAATGAGGAAGGATGAATCGACTTGCCAGGGTTAGAAAAAAAAATAGTAATGATGACGTCCGATAAGGGAGAAAAAAAAAGCATGACAAGCGTGTCGAAAAAGAGTCAAGATAAAATACCCAAGATTTACTGACAAGTTCAACACATTATCTGAAAATTTTTGAAAACAAAACAAAACAAAGTTATTGACACGAATCGACATGTGCGATTAACCCAAAACCGAGCATCCGAGGCAGGACACTTATGGTCGAGATATCCACTCACTCAACCCAGTTTCCAAGTCGAGGTCGAATTCAAGATCGACGGCGATTCTTCTTCTCTGTATGGCGATGGAATGGCTGTTTGGTTGAGTAAACCCGCTCAGCAAATCGGCCCGGTCTTCGGTTCAGCTGGTTTGTTACAGTTTTTTTTTTTTCCTTTTCTCTCTCTCTTCTACTGTCTTTTTTTTTTCTTCGTTATGATATCAGTCGAAATTCGGTTGACTAATTGATTTAATCTTACAATCTTCATCTTTTTGAATCGTCGGTCCTGAACGAAAATTCATTAAGATCATTGGGATGGATTCGGGATTTTTATTGATACATTTCCAAATGCAAGACATGCAGTAAGTGCGACACTCATTTTCCAGATTTATTTCCCGTTCTCTTTTTTTACTTGACTTAGATTCTACGTGTACACCGACGGAAATTTTGCTCTTCGTCTCAGCTGATGAATACCTCTCTCTCATTAAGTATGCATTTCCGCGGATTCTAGGAATGATCAACCACGGATACACCTCATTTGATGTTGGGCAAGATGGGGATGGCCAAGAAGCAGGCGCATGTTCGTATCTAGTACGACGATCAGATGTGGCAACTAAATTGCAGATCAATTATGTTCGAGGACGGTTCCTAGAGGTAAACGTCCGACTTGAACTATCCATGGTGGTGACACAGATCACTGACCTTAAGGACCTTTTGCCTGTCACATCGCACAGCTGTTGGTTCAGCATGACAAATGGGATGATGGGACCATTGTTTTACGGTATCAAACTACACATTACCCGAGAACATATACCTAGGATTTTCAGCTCATACGGGTGAAGTCAGTGGTAAGTACCGAAAACAAACCAAGCAGAACAGATTTTTGATTGAAAGCAAAATAAGTGAGCGGTAACTGAATCGATAAAAACGACGGATTATCGAATCTCTATAGATGCGCACGACATCTTATCAGTAACGACAAACGGACTAGTTTATCATCCACCGCATACACCAAAGAAAGGCTCGAAATCGTATCCCGAATGGAATGGGAATACAGCTGGTGGGATCGGATCGGGTGCGCTAGGCTTTTGGGGCTCCTTGGGAGCTTATCTGTATCTGGCTCTCAAATGGTCCTTCATTCTGGCTTGCGTCGGACTGGCTCTCTTTGGAGGCAAAAAGTTCGATTCCATTTCCTTTCTTCTCTTCTTGATCGTCTCATTACCAATTCATATTACTCACATACTTTGTCTTTGCATCGTTTTCTAGATATTTCTCGAAATATCAACAAGAAGTTATGAAGAAGTTTTGACACAAAATCAAAAACACTCAATCCGTTAAATCATTTCAAAATTTCATCAATACATTTCAAAATCAAAGAGAGAGAGAAAATTAAATAGAGAAGCAACAATCAAATATCCTCTTTTTCTTCTCAACTGTTCTGACTTCTTTTTTTTTTTCTAGCATGTTGATTATTCTTTTTTTTTTTTTGCTTTTGTTATTGAGATCAACTGAAATGACAACTTACCAGAGGAAAATATTCATTTCTGCATTTGCTTTTTTCTGCTATCTCTTTTCTTTTTGTAATTGGATTTTTTTTTCATTAGATTTAAGCAATTAAGCAGACATGAAATATGAAAGTGATGGACAAAGGGCAAAGCCTGAAGAATTGTCTGGTATCCCTGTGATTGTCACATTCCTGTAGATTTGAAGTCAAATAGCCATTTTCACAATAGCCAGTCATCAGCAAAAATTTCGTATCGAAGTCAAATCTAGCCAACTCTTGGGGCAGCCCTAGCGCGCGGCTGGAGCCGCTACGCTGCGTGACGGTATGCTACAGCCTATTCAGCGGCAAAAAATGCCTGAAATCCGCTGAAAAATGCTGTAGCGCAGCGTAGAGGGCGGTTTTTTGCGAAATGCGAGCGTAGCGTTAGCGGAGATGGAGGGGACAAAACGCTAACGCTACGCAAAACACTCAGCGCAAGTTTTTTCCCCATGCGCGTAGCGTTCAGCCTGCAGGAAAATGAGAAAACCGCTAACGCTATGCTAAATTGTAGCGATTTTTCGCTACACTACGCTAAAATAACGCTACGGTTAGCGTAGCTGGCCCACCGTTGTCTGTATGTTGAAATTGAAGACCATCTTGGTTGTGTCAGTGGGGACTATTTTCAAGTTGAATTGATTTGTCCTATTATTAGAATTCAGTTTGTTCACATTCCCTGATTCACCTACTAACAAATCCCAAAAATATGAGACTATGAACTGTTCCAACTTACAATGCACAAGCGCTTCTTGCAAACCGAGTACATCTTATTTATACTATGACGGCTTTGAAAGGATCCCCATGTTGGTCTCACTTGATTGTATTGAGGACAAAAAAGGCAAAGCACTAATATATTGAAGAGTCATTTGCTTTTGACAAGAAATTTGGATCTATAGAGGAATGGACGGTAGATTGGATGGATTGATGGTCCGTATGATGTCTGATTACCAAATCATGTGGGCAGGGTCATGGAAGGTTGAATCAACTCGAGGAATAGGAACGGTAATGCTTGCCGAAGCCAACCTTCGATACTAATGTCGCTTCACCATACGATCCAGGTACAGTAACCCGGACTCCAATGAGTCCCACTGGCATTAGGACTCATCAGAGGCTGTAGGCTATGCAGAAAGACTATTATTACAGCCTTATATTAGCATCACAGCACGATCCTGTCACCAATGAGTTCTACACAAGCCACAACTTAGGATCCATACTCCAGCCTCAAAGCGTGCTCAGCATGCAGGCCAACGTGAAAACGGTCATAAGGATACCCTTTCGTTGTACCATTGGCGACTTGGAATTATGGTCCTGTCTCGGCTCAAAGCCGCGTGACCAATTGGAGTTCATACTCGGGACCCGAATGGATAGGTTATGGACCATGGTATCGGCTGGTAGAGCCTCAGAGGCCACGTCGAATATCCCAGTCTTTTTCCTTTGTATCTTCTTCTTCTTCCTTTAGAATCCGTTATACATACATTCAGTCTCGTCAACGCCTAGTGTGGCTCAAGTCAGCGGTGTCCTGCGGTGGCTGAACTTTTCAAGTCAAATTCTCTACACCAGAACGCGAGTGCAGAGATTTTTTTGCTGATTAGCTGTAAAGAAAGATGACTTGCGCAAGTTAGCAACGGTAACTTGAAAAACTTATATTCCGGCTAATCGGAGCTCTGCTAAGTAAATAATCATTGAAGTTTTTGCGTGCACCCCAGATCGATAATTCATTCTCATCTTGACGTTACTACCCCCTCATGTGTCAAAATAAGCGCGGTTGAGCTCTTTATTCCCTTCTCCACCTCCTACTATACAATTGATCATCAATTTCTTTCTTACAAGCTCGTGTGTACATGCATTGCTTCGGACTTGCACTCAATAGTCCTTTTCCTAATCAACAAGCCGAAAACTTAGCCGAATCCGCAACCTTTTCCTTGACTGATGCTTCCCTTCCTCTACACTTGGAAAGAAACATCGAACCCCAAGAGAAGAACTTGTACAATTTATCGCGCAAAGCTCCTTTACCTGTGGTGCTAGCATCACATTCGCAACATGAACTCAACTTCTTTCAATTTCTTGCCTTCATTATCTCAATTTTTATCGACAGTCCCGACTGGCGAAGACCCGTTTTCGTTTGGACTTCGCATGTTAGATGCAAGGTTGGCCTCAGATCAATTCTTCAAACAAACTCCCATCATCTTTATTATCCTAAACTTTTGCTTCTCTGGCTTCTCGAATTCTGACATAAGGCTCAAGAAATAATTCCTTGATCTGATTTAATCAAACGCTCTAATCCAAATGATTACCATCTCAAACCGTCACTTTGCAGCGTCTATCCATCAGTCAATCCAGAAACATTCACTATTCTCATTGTGATGTCCTTCATTCATGCATGCACGATCATCCTATCAGTTTTGGTAATCATCTTACCTTTTCTACGCCCGAGAGCTAGGCGAAAGCAATTTTGGATTGTCAAAAAGTTTACCATCGGTTCAAGTTAGTAGTACATCATCCACTTCAATTTTTGGTATCGGGAAGAAAGAATTAAACTTTTTATTTCTGAAAGGTACCGATCATTACTGGATGCCCAATACCTGTAGGTGCCCTTCTTCTAAGCTCCTGCTCCATGCTTTATTCTTGTTTTGTTTTGTTTGAAATAAAGCAGCTGAAGTCAACCTTATTTGCGTAAATGTACCTTTGCCCTTCACCCGCTTTCTTTGACATCGACACTCCCATTTTCGCTTTAATTATGCAGCCTTGGCATTAGCATTTTTTCAACTGCTGATAGGCTGCGTTTGTGAAGTCTATACCTACTTGAGTTATGTCGCACTTAAATCGCCTGGGTTTGCAAATAAAATGTCGATCGGCGTGTGGTCAGCTTAACGCTCATGGCTTCCAAAATTTTGCTTCGCTCTTAACTCATCCTCGGAACTCATGCCATTTTGCTTCCGCTTCATTGGGTTTGTTGATAATTAGGATTCAATTCATTTGGCTATATAACTTCTACAGTTATTTTATCACATCATGGGGAGCAATAAGCACGTGGTCAGTAATTCGTTTTCTTATTCCAGCTAGAGTAATCGAGCATTAGTTGACTCGGAGTAATGTTGACCCTTTCCAGCCTTAGCTCACCCCAGCCTTCCACTGTCCTGCGTTTCCCTATGCTGCGTAGAGCAGGTAGCCTTTATGCCATATGTGTCATTATCCCACTTCTAGTGACAATATTTACCTTAGCCTGGAGCATCGCTCTGGGCTTCTCATATCACAAAATACAAGCAGACGTCGCACAAGTGCGAGGTATGTTAACCAAAGCCTCTTCTGAAAGGAAATCTGGTGGCCATCCCAATATACAACAGATGCTCCAGATACTCGAGAACGCCAAGACCCTTTTAAACACCACCAGAACTCTCATTCTACGCCTGAAATATAACTCCTTACTGTGGGCTGCTATTTGGACGTTGACGGCTGCTGTAAGTCTTCCTTGTTCTATAGAATGTAAGACAAATATTGACACACCGCATCGGGGCTTCTTCACTTAGATGTATACCTACTCCGTATGGCCTTTGATAAAAATGTTCAGGGTTTGTTACAAAAGGATGGAAGAAATAAAAGCAACCGAACAGCCGGCTATGAACTCAAAAAAAGCTCCAGGCGCATCAAAGCGTGACAGACCTCATGAACGGGTCGGAATAGCTTTGCGAAGAAGTTACAGTCAGTCCTTCCATTAAAATCATTCAACTTAGAAAACGAAATTTGATTAGTTTGGTTTGATATGTGCGGAATCCATTTGCGCGATTTGGCAAGAAAAGGGTTCCTGATGTGGCACTGTGTAGTGATGACAATGTCAATATTTTACAATTTTTCGATATGCCTTGTAGTTGGAGTTCACTCAGAGCATGTTATTGTAGTGTGAGTCAATTTTCGGAGTGGGTTGACCTCTTTTGAGCATTTATTCACCCCTTCAAAATTTGAACAGATCTGAGTGGAGAGCTCTAGGCGCTTGGTTGTTTTTGGTTGGCGGGGCATTTTCAGCAACCGCCATGCTTTCTCAAACTGTATGTTGACCTGTTTCAAATTAGTATTTATGGAAAATGAGATCGAAGGCTCGTCGGTACTAATACTTATACTTTGATTGAACAGTGGCGATCTTACATCAAATTTGATTTCGCCCAGGAAGTAAGTGAGCAAGTGACTGGCTTGGAGAATGAATCAGAAACAAAGAACAAACACAAATGGAACACCCTTGCTAGCGGTAGCAGTGGCAACCCAACGCTTTCCGAGCTAGTTATGTCTACTGGGCAGCACAAGACAGAAAGTACAGAGGACGTCTTGGTCATTTCCATCACGGAAGTGACCAGAGACAAGATCAAATCCCAGTGCAATATCGAGACCTTGCGCGAATAAACAGGCAATGGTCATCCAGTGCCACATCACAGTCTTTTCCTGATAAACTATACCCTGAACTCGTTTTTCTGTATCAATAAATATACCCAAGGGGGGCATCCAGGCCTTAACCATGATGCCATCAGTAGACATCACATTCAATAACCTGATTGGCCGATATACTATTTGTCAATATTTGTAATCTTATCAATCTCAATAGTAAAACTTCACGTAGTTTGTTTTCTAGAAGTCTATCGCATTAATTATTTATTGGGCTTTTTTCGATGTGACTTGGACATTTTGTTGTAAAAACCCAAATCACCAAGACATACCTAAAAGGCATTCCCATCGAATCGAAAATCTGCAATAACTTATTGCTTTCGCTTCCCTCTCCTTCGGTGGGATAATTCCACAAGTGTTAGCCACACAATCCCGAAAAGAAAGAGGTACGTGCTTGGTCAAGCTGTGCAGTTTGAGACAAGTGGTGCGAGCCGAGGAGGATTTTGATGGTTACAAAATGAGCCAATTTCACCCAAGTCCCTTGCTATGCGGAGGAGCCCCTTTGTGCCAAAAGTCCTGGCCCTCCGAAGCGAGGAACTGTGATGAACTCATGACTAATCGCAAGTAGTATGGTCAGGGGATTCGCATGGGAAACAATTCGACTGAAAATTTATGGGACTGTGCCGGAAATCAATTGGTGTACGGGAAAAATGCATCTGCCCTTACTTTGTGTGTCAATTTTTTAATGTGATGATGTGATCCCTCTCAGACAACCCAAGGGTTTTCTGAGCCCCTGAAATGCAAGCTGAAACATTAAGGTTCAAAATTTGCAAACTCAAGAAAGATTTCAAGGCGGTATGGGATTCGCTGGCTGACTCCGCTCAAATCATAGGAGCTGGAACTCAATCCTCAACCACACACTCTCCCCTTCAAAGCTGTTTTATATTCATAATAATTCAAACAAAAAAGCGACTTCCAAATCATTCATGGCTATATATAAATACAAGATAAAAGTACAAACGAAGAACTTTGGTTGAGGACAACTGATACACATCCATCAAGATGATGGACTTACTTCACTACATTGAATCGCAGCTTCTTATCAAAAGAAACTCCGCACTGATTTTTTTCAAGAGAAACAAAAAGAAGGAAGGAAGGGGGGAATGATTTTGTTTTTGCCAGTCAGAGACACAAATCATTGAGGAAAATCCATCCCAGCTGATTTGAATAACCGGAAGAAATTTCCATGACTTGCTGAGGACCTGAAAAAAACATGCATATAAAAAAGAAGATCAATGATTTGATTCAAGGATTTTTAAGGGAGATAAAAACGACTGACTTCATTCGATTGGCATAGATACATCTCACAGTTGTTAGTACATCCTTTGACGATGATCCATTGGTCTGTGATGGTTGTTTGCTCATGAACGATCTTCGGAACGGATCTGACGATAAACCTTCCATCCGAGGAGCAACCAAAAGATTCTCTGGATTCGGCTTGGGTGATCTAATTCTAATGATTATAAAAACAAGGAAAGATTAAACCTCGATCGATTTTTTTTTCCTCTTCCAAAAATCGAAAAGTTACTTACGATAATTTTCCAACGATACCCTTTGATTGTTTCTTCATGGCACTCGTTGCACTCGCGTGATTATAATCAAGAGATAAGTTTTGGAAGCAAAATTCTCCACCGAGTTGAGTGAATGAGCCAGGATGATGCAACGGAAGTTGGGAATACTCTTCGTGACACAAAAGAAGTTGTGTGAGTTCATAGAGAATTGTTTACAAAAAATAAACAACGGGGGCTCTTACCTTTGCTGACGCGACCATCGTCTGCCAGATAGTTAATGTTTTGTGTAAGGTTGCGGGATCGCTTGAGCCTCCAAGCATAATACGATGAAGGCCCATTTTCCTGAACAATCTACTAGTAGTAGTCGTATCGGTATAAAAGTCGAACGAGCACCCCAACATAGCTATACATAAGAAAACGGGAAATTAATGGATAAAGGATTCTTTAAAATCGTTGAGTCGAGTAACAAATAACTTACCTCGATAACTAGAAATCATCTTCCAACTTCCGGTGCCAATGAAGACGATAGTCGAATTAGTTTCGTCAAGTTTCTTTCGAGCCTCTGTTCCGGGGGCGAAGAACTTGGAGATAGTTCGGACGTAATCCTGGCATTTAGCGCACCAGAAGAATCTGAGGAAGATGACGAGAGTTTGACGATTTCGGATGACATCCTTGAAAAGCACCTTCTTCCCGTCTTGATCTTTGATCGTGCACAATTGAGCTTCGTCTAATTTGGTGCTCTTCATCAACTCTTCTCGTTCTTTCTTCTCTTCCTCCTCTGTAAACGTTGCTTCTTCACATAAATCGATTGTTTGTCCCTCACTGCTTGAGATCTTACACGTTGTTAGTGTTTTCGACAACGTCGTAAGATCATGAATCCCTTGAGAAGCGAACGTCGAATTGCGCATCTCAGTGGCAGCGAGTCCATGATAGGTATCGAAATCGAAAGAATTGATTCTCAAGGGAACTGGATCTGAAGCGACTGAGATCTCTTGGTTGAGGGTGGCAGTATTATAAGTTCTGAGGATCGAATGTTTGAATTCGAGCATGGCTTCTTGCTTGCTTAATACGGACTGTCGAGAGAGGTATCGGTCTTGAATCTGTTGTAACCAATCAGCAAAGCAATCATCTTCGGTCTCCTGGCTCAAGCGCTCCGAAGGTTCCTTGATTGGGAAACGGGCCAAGGCTCGGCAAGTGGGGGGAGAAGGGAACTGGTCGATGATATCTGGGGAAACAGATTTGGGGGACATTATCCTTCGGGGAGGACTTAGAGCGATCGCCGTAGAAGATGTGATGGTAGGCCTTCTTGGAATGACCAGTCCCCTCTGAACATCGTTGCGGACGACAAGGGAGTTGGAGAGTGGCGTGAACCGTTCGGTCTCCATAATGTCGATTACCTCTGCTGATCCCGAGGGAACTATGGCAGTTGTTCTCCATTCTTGGGCAGAAAGATAGGTAGGGGCTGGTGCCCTCTTGGCACAGAGTAGTGGGTCGACAGCTGACTCGGTTGAGTTTTGAGGACTCATGCTATTGCTCATGGGTAGATCCCTTGGCTCTCTATAGCAGTTAGCAAGGGTGATGCTCGAACCGAGCCGAGGATCCAACTGGTTGGTATGGGCACCTCCACCCTCGTTCTGATCATCGCTGGCATCCGAGATGGCCCCTAGGGACTCTTGGCTGTAGAGTGTGTATCGGTGTTGCGACTCCACTGACTCCTCACTTTCGTATCGACGATGTCCACTATACTGCTGAATCGGATAGTTGCCCGGGAAAGATAAGCGAAGGGATTGTTTGCTTGGTGGCTGAATGACAACAGCTAAAGTAAAGAACCAGAGTTAATTATTGGACTGGAGTTGTTTGAAGTGATGGTACTTACTCATAGACAGATTGCCGCCAACGGTGGACATCATATCCATCGATTGATGCTTTGATTCAGAAGAAGAAGAAGTACTGTCGAGATCCATCGACGATGAACGTCTGGAAGTCTTGACAAGGTTATACATGGAAGACATTGTTGGGTTTAGGCTAGAGGTCACAGGACTTGGGCAGGGAAGTCAAAGAGAAAGAAGGGGTATGGAAGGTAACAAAACTACTGTACTAATGGAAGTCAATTGCTTGGAAGGTATCGGAGGAAGGAGCAAGATAACTGATGGCTTAAAGGCAGGAGAGAACTGGTGTGAGTGATGGAAGCGGATGAGGGAAAGAATATCTCCAGTGGGGGGAGAAGGAGGGCATTCTTATAGTGGAAGCCATGATAGGACTGGCAGCCATCAGCCTGGCCGGCACAGGCTCATCAAGCCTGGAAAGATGGCTGGCCGGTTCAAGTTAACCAACCCAGTCCACATAAACAAATCTTTCTACTCCGCCAAAGCCGGTACCGTCGGTTTAAATCGAAAGGGCACTGATCGCTTCAGTCCGGATCACATCTGCTCGAGATGGCTGGAGTGGAATAGCGCTGGCGCCCCGAGTGTTGAACTCTGGATGCCGAGATGGCTGGAAATATGCACATGCAAGTCATCATGGTCAGAGCTTCATTCCGCCGATACTCTCGCTATCTGAAGTCGAGAGTGGGAACTGGGGTGGGGGGAACTGGGGTGGGGGGAACTGGGGTGGGTGATAATCCAGCCAAACCATTGATGGTAGCTTAAGAGGAAGTGCAGCCACATTAAAAGAAAAAGCCGGAAGAGGATCCCAATGCCTTGCCATAAATGACTGATAGTTGCAGGGCAGCATCGATTGGAGGTTGAACGAAGGCGAACGAAATTCAGCTTGGAGGGTCAAAACCAACCATCGATCCACTCACAAGTCTTGGCTGAGGTTCTTTTCTCATCAACTTGCCCAGATTCACCGAGCCATGGTAATCTCCAAGCTTGATAAAGCCTCTCCCCTCCGTGTCCCCGCGGGACGCTCCCTCCCTGTGGTCGGGCGAGCTTGTACAGCCTCTCATGCAGGAAGTGTGGGAGAGGCAAGGAGAGGCAGCTTGTGCCCAAAACAAACACCCCCGTGTGCCACTCCTGGGTTTTTGGAGTGTTTTTTGCGCAACAACCTCTACAAAGTTGTGCTCACGGGTTTCTTGAGTAGTGAGTCAGGCAGATGATGCCCAAGATGGAGGTCTTGATTTCCATCAAGAAATATTTCAAATTTCAAAAAAATAAATTAAGGATTCATGAAAAATTTAAAACAAAAAAAATTGAATACCAAGTTGGCTGAGCTTGATATTAGTGTTTTATGTAAGCCAGTTTCCACCTTGCTGCCCAACATTTGATAAATTTTCCTAGATTTGATAAATTTAAGAAAAATCCACCTTATCCAATTTTCAGGATAGAGCTCTGAAAATTGGATGAGGTGAGAGGCCCTCCAAAGCAAGAGACTTGTGACAAGTGTGGCAGTCAGGGAAAGCTTTGCTTGCCAGTGGGCAACTCTTTGCTTGCCCATCAAGACCCTGGCAAGGGGATTGGATAAGCTAGGGTAATCTCAGGGACAAGGGAAGTGGATAGAATTTATGTCCTGTCTTCAGACTTCATGCTCCCAGATCAGTATGGATACACTCATCAAAAATCAGTCATCTTGCATAGATATCAGCTTACCTTCTGGTTGGACTTTGGAATGACCAATCAAAACCAATTCATGGCATCCAAAATCCCAGCCCTTTCTTGAAGTAAGATAGATTGACTGATGAGAAAAAGAAAGCACACTGCTTAATAGCAGCTAAATCTAGGGTTCAGGGGCATAAAGCTTGTCCAATGCCTCAACACCAAACACGTTATTGCTGGAAATTCATGTTTGTATAACAATGTCTTTGCTTGTGCAAATGCAATGACACTACTTTTGATGGCTGAGAATCCACATTAAAAAGTGATAAATTGCAACAAGTGCTGAGAGACTCTGTTAATTAGGGGGGGGGGGGGGTTCATAATAGTATTTTTTGCTTCTCACACCCGTTATTTTTTTTCTTGCTTGCGCATTGCTGATATCAATTTTCTCAGCAAAAATTTTAAGTTCCACACTAAATTTTAAGCCTGCAGCTGTGCTGCGGTTTCTTGTGCAAGAAGAAATTGCTTCTTGTGAGAAGCTATCATGAACCCCCCTATTGAGATTTCTGATTTTCCTAACCCTCTGAATTGAATACATAGGTATTTTGATGTAGTCTTGGCACTGCTATGTTAGCAAGTTGAGTATACCAAAATGTTCATTTCAGAATCACATTGATGGCTACTATCACAATCTACCCCTCCACATCATGCTTCAATTTGATGTACCCAGCATCAAGCAGCTCTGCAACAAGGTTTTTCACTGGAGAAGGAAGATAGCACACTGTAATCACTGGTAGCCAACTGTGTTGGGCTTGAATGAGAAAATTGAATTGGGAGATGTAAAGGTCTAGTGTGTTTTTTGTTAGGCACAAAAGGCAAACAATTGAGAATTTTCATGAAATAGTGGTTGCATCCTGTATTCACAGAAATCATAGTAAAGGGAGGAGAAAACATCTTGTTGAGCCAAGTGGTTGAAGTGGAACTGCCATTACACAGATTTTTGGAAGCAGATAAAAGGTTGTAATATGAGCTGAGGTTTGTATTGTGGGCTGAGGTTTGTATTGTGGAAGCCTTTTGAGTTTTCACATTTTTTGCCTACTTCTTCCCTAAATTAGAGAAGAAATTGAATAAAGAATGATTTTGAATAAAAACTGAGAGGAGGGAATATACGAGTTCATGGAAGAAATAACCAGACAAGCCTTCTCAGTCTCTTTTAGTCAAGCTAGAAAATTGATCCTGAAAAAACATGCACTCAACCACAAATATTTAGAGTTGTTAATTCTAAACAATCAGATTTTGTGAATCAACCAAATTAGGAAAAAGAAGAACTCTTTGGAAGCCATTAGTTGTTGACAAGGCCTATTACTTAAGGTTCATTGAATTCAGAAGTGAATTCAGGCAACAGAAAGCAGGCTCCTTAAAGGCTATAATCTAGTCTACTTAAGGAAGATTCAAGAGATATAAAATGAAGAGAAGAGATGGAATTGAAGGGACCACTTTTTCACCTTGTATTTATTCTATTTAAGCTGGTCTAGCTTAAAGGAATAAAAAAAATTGGTTCTTTCATCCTTTCATCTGTGAGCCTCTCACAAGCAAAGAACCTTGTCTTTCTTGGCCCTCTTCTCAAACGTATTCTCTTCTCTTGTGCATCAATTTAAGAATTTCAACAAAGCTCAATGGGCCTCTTTCCAAAATTGCATGCTACAAGGTCAAGACAGGAATAAGATAGTAAGGCTCTGAAAAGAACAGGCCACCAGAATACAGTACATGATGCATGGATAGAGGACCAGAACAAGACATGCATGGCTGACTGGTGCCTAGAAAATAAGAAAGAGACTTTGTGGGCTTCTTCACATAGTGAATACAACAGCACACAAAAGGAAACAGACAGAAGAAATTTACTTCTTCAGCTGGTTTGACTCCTAATGGGCAGTTCTTCTAACACAAAAAAGAGGGGGGGGAGTGGGGTCTAGGTGAAAGCATAAACAAAGGCAAGAGGGAGTACAGTTTCAGGAATTGTTTGGCTCTTGTTTGGAGACATTACTCAAAGTCAAATGATATAGAGCTGTATCCATTTCAGTTGAATAGAACAAAGTAGTGATTATTTTTTTGGGTGTGTGTGTGGGTGGAATTTGGTCTTCTTCAGCCTAAATTTTAAATTTGATTATCAGTTGCATTTGATTAATTGAGCTTGCAAGCTGAAAAACCTTATGGGTTGGTTTAAACTGTAACCTTGGGGTCCCTATCACACATAATGATTAAGGTCTCTGATCACAACCAAATCATGAAAATCCAATTTATATTGGAATTCAAACACACCATTTCCCTAGAAGAGGGTGACATCATTGTTGATTAGAGCTCCTCACAGTCCAGCAAAAGTTACTGCTAAATCCTAGAGTATGTATCACATTGAGGATGAATACCAGCTGAACTACTGTGGCCTTCAGGCCAGAAGGACAAGAAAGCACAAACAGGGACAATCAAGATTAAAACTTGATGAAGATAGAACCACTAGCTACAATGAACTCATTTCCTTTGCTTGTAAAACTCTCTTTCTTTTTTAAGAGTTTCTTTCATTAATGCTCAATTGCTTCATCTTGTGTCTTTCCCATTCCACTTGCTGTGTTTACTCAGTATAATTTCCCCTTTTGCTCACACCTCAAGTGCAGTTTTCTGTAGCCCAACACCTAATAGTTGGTTCTCAAAAGACCCCAAATTCCCTTCTTTGTCCTGTACACTCAATTTGACACTCAACTATGAATATACTGCAGCAATGAATGAGCCACACAAAGCCTCACCAAAAACACACATATTTCCCTTCTCTCAATTTAAGGTATCACAAAAATGTGGAGGGAAGCCCATGTCCCCCAAAATCATGGACATGCTATGAGTTCTGCCCATGGGTTGAATTTTGATTCACCAAGATTGAATCCCTAGAGCCCAGGATTAATGGACACTCAATCAATTGATGTGGTGCAGCTTGGTTTCTACTTGGAATGCAGAGATTTTCAGCATCTGAAAACAAAATTGAGATGTCATTCTGCATCAAATTTAGTATCAAGCTGCTTTTATGCAGATATTCATATCATGCAGATTAGCAATAAGGTTCATCAATTCTTTACCTGCATCAAGAAGCCACCTCCTTCCTAGCTGGTTTGGTAGCTTCCAAACTGCCAAAGTGTGGTGCCTTTGGCTGATGGTGTCCCGGCAAGCAGTGTGCTGGAAACCACCTGGGAGACACAATCCTCCGGTGCATAGTTGGTCTTGAGTCCATCAAAATCCAAGTTCTGCACCAGAGTGACTGGAAGACCCCCTCATGGCCACCAGAAGCTTCCCTATATCTGCTCCAATGAAGGTACCAACCAGAGCATGCACTGAGAGGAGACTTGCAAGCTGTTCAAAAGCCATGTAATCTTAAATATACAGAGTAAAAATTGTAAATTCATAAAACAATTTGAACCCAATCCAGTATTTTGTGACCCTTGTCCTCTCAAAAATTAGGGTCAAGTTAGGCACACACTGACCCTGCAGTTGAAGAACTTTGGGGACCCAGGTGTGCACACAGGGGGCAGACACACTGTTGCAAGTCGCCCCACCCTATCACTCCATCAGCCCCCACCCCTTCCTCAACCTGATCTAATTTTTGCCAGGTACAACATATACACATTAGATTACAAACTAAGGACAATCCAATCTTTCCTAAAACAGACCCCCAAAAGATATATGGACAGTTATCCATCATAATCATCATCATCTCTCATACACATGTCCTTACAGACAACAAGAAACTCACAACCTTAAGTCTCATTCACTCTAAACCCCCACAACCCCACTCCCACTCACATACAAAAAAAATGATTAAATGGAAGGGTATTATCATATGTAAATTTGAGTCATCCAATAGGTATATTCAGTTCTCTTGTTTTTGATTTTTTTTGCACTTCTCAGAGCACTAAGAGAAAACTCAGGCAACAGGGGCATTTTGGATGGTGCATTGTGTTTTCTTTTTACTTGCTGATAAACCACCAAATAGAGAGAGAGATATTTATGATTGTTGGGACATATATAGAGATCTTAACGTTTGACCCATCGATACTGTAGCACAAGAATCCAGAAACCGAAACCAAAAAAGAAGGGTAAATTGCAGAGCCATACTCGCAGATAAACCCGCTCCTCAACGAGAGAAAAGAAGAAGGAAAAAATAAACGTACGGAAGACTTAGCACCGGGTTTCCCGGTTTTCTTACGTTCGACAACCCTGGGATCTCTGAGTGCGAGCTGACTCTTAACGAGCACCTTTTTAGCGAATCGTTCCTTAGCGGTCCCGTCGGTTTTGCCGGCTTGGTTGAGCGCCTTGAGCAGACAGTTCGCGATCGCATGGGAGGCTGCGGCCGCTTGGCCCATCTTGCCTCCCCCATGGACTAACAAATGAACATTATAATGGCCGATACAACTACATAAGAAGAAGAAGAAGAAGACGGTGATTATTCAGCTGGATTGTTGGATTCTTCTGATAGGATGAAGTAGATAAAAGATCTTACTTGGTGATCTCTAAGGCTCGGATTGCCGTAGCTCGTTGTCGAGGGGTATGGAAATAGTCGACGATCGATCGTCCATTGATGATAATTTTGCCCAAAGGTAACTCCGGATCAGATATCAGTTGTTCTTCCGGGTTGGTGGTGATTGCCTGGGTTTCTGGGGGAGGTGGTTCGGTTGATGGATCGCTGCTGGCTGAGGTTGATGGTGGTGGTGGTGATTGTTGTTGCTCTGGTTCAGGAATCTTGACTTCGATCATCCATGCTCGAGCGGTACTCTCCTTCTTCCTTCCGATCCCATGGAATCGACCCAGATGATCACGTTCGAGTTGCTGTCGTTTGCTGAGAGTGGTCTGGGTATCTGGGACGCTGTACTTCAATAGTTCGTTCTCGATCTTCGAATCCAGTTCGTTGATCTCTTCCAGATCGGTGGTGATTGTGGTCAGTTGGAGAGATTTGGCGATGATCAGATATTTCTTCAGTGCTCTGAGTTCGTTGAGTTTGTCGATCAGATGGTTGTATTCGATCATCCTTAGTGGACGGTTCTCGTTAGCTTGGACGAGGATGCTCATGGTAGCCAGTGGATGCCATTTGATCTGATTTGTCCAGAGCAGTTTGAATAGTTGATGGGAGTCTTCGTTCTGCTCGTTCTCACCGAGCATCTTCCATTTCAGCCATTTCGATCTGATCCCGGTTCCGGTGAAGTCAGCCGAGGCGGAGTACCGTTTCAGGATTTGGATCCGATGTAGGTTCTGGCGTGATCGATGGATGAGTGAGTCTAGATGAGAGAATGAGTCGGAGAGTGCTGGATGGGTTGTGAACCAGTTGGTGCTCGGTGGTTTGGGTAGTGGTTCGATCTGAGATGATGAGGTGGTTGCTGGTACGAATGAGGAGGCCAGTCGGATGAGGATGTCCCTGTTGGGTTTGTTTCTGGTTGTGTTTGGGTGTTTAGTGAGTGAGATGAGTCTGTTGAGTGGTGAGTTGAGCATGGTTGTTGCAGCTGTGAAGGAGGAAGGCAGTGGAGTCGGTTGGCAGTTGATCCGAACAAAAACACTGGGTTTGATCAGCCGGGTGCGCAGCCAGATCGGATGACATAATCAAGCGCAGCCACTCAAACCCCCCACTCACCGAAGAAGAACACCCACAGCCAACCCACCACCACCACCTCATCAACCCAAAAACTTCAGAATGGCAACAACACTCATCACCGGAAACACGACCAGACTGGCATGGAGGACTGGAAGAACACAACTCAACCAGCTGCTAAACAGGACCAACAAGAGATTCTACAGGACCACTGAACCCAAACCACCTCATCTACTCACCCTAGCCGACCTGTCGATCAGGGAGATCCAATCACTAGTCTCCACCGCCATCAACATCAAGAAACAGTTCAAGGATGCTGGTCCACCCAACGGCGAAAACCTACCAGTCAAGATCGAGCAAATACTCCAGGGGAAAACGATCGCCTTGATCTTCGGCAAACGGAGTACCCGAACGAGGGTCGCCAGCGAAACCGCAACCGCTCTCCTCGGCGGCCATCCGATGTTCCTCAGCCCGTCCGATATCCAGTTGGGCGTCAACGAGAGTCTCTATGATACCTCAAAAGTCGTCAGTAGCATGGTCGATGGTATCATGGCCAGAGTCGGAGACCATTCGGAAGTCGAAGTAAGATCTTCCTCTTATGTAACTCAAGTTGAAAGGATTAAGTTTTCTGAATCATTCTTCGACGCATCTTTTTGGTTTTATAGTTGCTAGCTAAAAACTCTTCCGTCCCAGTCATCAACGCCCTCTCCTCACTCTACCATCCCACCCAAATCCTAGCGGACCTGGTCACGCTCTTAGAGAGCTTCTTCCCGCACTCGCGTTTCCTGAGCTCGCTCAACGGCCTCAACGTCACCTGGATCGGCGATGCTAATAACATCCTCAACGACATGATCGTCACCTATCCTCGATTGGGCATCAACCTCAAGATCGCCACCCCTCAGGGCTATTCACTCGACCAACGCGTCCTCGACCGCATGGAACTCGGCCTTCAAGACCAGAAAAACCTCCTCCCTGATGGAAAACTCGTCCACGTTCATGACCCTCTCGCAGCAGTTCAGGATGCTGACGTGATCGTCACCGATACCTGGTCAGTCCACTACTTCCCTGACAACCTATTTCCTTCATCCTGACTACAAAACTTATTTCTAACTCGACTCTAGGATCTCGATGGGCCAAGAATCTGAGATGCAGAAACGATTACAAGATTTCAATGGGTTTCAGATCACTGAAGAACTATGCAAAAAGGGAAAGGCCAAAGCTGATTGGAAATTCATGCATTGTTTGCCTCGGCATCAAGAGGAAGTTGATGATCAGGTAAAAGATCCCGTTTCTTCTTTTTGCAACTCCTCATGATTCGAAAAAACTAATTCTGATGTTTTTATTTTCAAATATTATTAAGGTCTTCTATGGTCCCAGATCACTTGTCTTTCCTGAAGCCGAGAACAGGAAATGGACTATCTTGTCAGTCTCCCCTCACCTCCTATCAACCTCCATTGACATATCACAACAAACTTATATTTTTACCAATATACACTTTTCTGATCGGGCTCTTTTTGATTTCTTTTTACTCAGGAGTGTCTTTCAATCTTATTTTGGAAATTGGAAAATTAAATCATAAATGAAAAAAAATCTATAAACATGTTCTGTTTTTTTTTTCTAAACAAAATGCATTGGTTATAAGGATTGAAATATCAAGTGTTTCTTTTATGATAATTGATAAGATGCAATTACTCAAAAAGTAAATATATATACATCTAGCAATACTGCATGTTACCCTGACCCTAACTGTTTTTTTTTTTTTTTTTCAATGGAAAATAATATCTGAAATGATTTGAGAGTATACAGTAGGTAAAGACAGTCAAAAGTGGCTGCTTGTTTGGGATTGCAGAGCTTCAAAACTCACACTTCAAGTCATGTGACTTGGTCAAGTGTGGAAGAATATAATGGAACTGAAAAAAAGGTTGGTTTCAAAATGTGTGAAAAATAAAAATAAAGAAAACATCAAATCGATTTTAATGGGGCTTGCCACTTGGTTAATCAAGTCTCAAATATTGGAGGATTGACACTTGCAAATCAAGAGGACCATTGGGGGATCTTCTTGAGATGGGAGTTCATGGGGCCCCAATGACTTTAATAAAAAGAATATTCCCTGGAAGGTTTGTGAGTAGATTCTCCAAACCATCTTGAAGGAGTGGGAGTTGGCACAGACAGGGAAGCCTGCAATTTGCTGAGCCGTGTACACTCTCAACATATGGGAGGATCGTCTTGGCTGACAACACTGTACACTCTTGACAACTGGGAGAACTCCAAACTTAACACAAGTCCCCCTGGTGGGAGGCTCGCTGGTGTGACTGGCTGGGCGCGGGGAGGGACTTGAAACTTAGAACGCTTTCCCGGTGTGAGGCAGAAACACGGTTTTGGTGGTGGCAACCTTCCTTGCCCCACCACTCATTCATTATAATGTTATTTTTTTTCTTGATCCTAGTAGATGAAAGATCTACATAATCTTGATTTTCCTATATTTTTTTATTTTGAAAAGGTGCATGTGATTCTACTTGAAAATAGGCAATGAAGTTCATGATTTTGAGCTTTAATTTTCAATCTTGGCAGAGAGGCTCAAGCGCAACCTCAGTATAAGCATATTTTTTGCCTGCAAAATGGAAATTTCTCTTTTTTTTTAAAAAAAAACAATTGGCATGGGAATACAAATAAAAAAATTCAGAAAGATCAACAAGATGGCAGAGAACAAGAAAAAGGCTACAATGTAATTTTGACAAATAAGGCATGGAAGCCAGAGGTGATAATACAAAAACAGGCCTGCCTCACGGGAGCTTTGAGTAATAATATGTAAGCCTCTCTGACAAGACTGGGCTGCCACCCAGACCTGCCCGCAAACGACTCTCGTCACAAGAGGATTAGTTAAGCTTGGGAGAACTTATCTTGGCTGTTGAGAGTGTACACTATCAATGGTCAAGAGGAATCCTCCCAGTTTCCAACCTCTGCCTGCCAGTTGTTTCCTCCTCATTCCACTCAGCACACATTACAACAGATCCACCGGTGACAGATTGCACATATCTATCAAACAGATGGTTTCACAGATAGTATGGTTCAGCTTGTGAGGGGGAAAAGGACTCTCACTACAAGTATCTGTATGAGTGGCCACAGAAACAATGGGAAGTTACTACACAGAGATTGGTTAAGTAACAGTATAGTAAAAGTTACAGTTAACACAATTGTAAAACATTTTTAGTTACTTTATCTAGCCTAATACAATTGGGGGATGAACTGAGTCTGTGGGAAAGGAGGTGAAAACACATGTATATTAATCTGGAACAAGAGAGCAGAGAGACAAATGGCAGAATTCCAACAATGAGGGGCTTTCTTCTCAAATTTTATCCAACACCAAATGATACTCTTTTTCTTGTGATGATAAGCCATGGTTTGAGAAATACTGGCAGAATATTCCTATCTACCTCCAATTCTATTGGAGGTCTCACCTACTACTCATTCCAAATCATCTAAGCCAGTCAGTCAAATCCCTATGTGTTCAAAAAAAAACTAAAGGACTACTGACTTTCTAGTCCACGTTCATGACGATAATTAAAACACCGCTGGCACCATTTTCTTATATGTACCCAGTCATTTTTCACAATAACATTAGATGTACAATTATCTGGATCTGGACAATCCCATCTTGCCCAGGCGTGCTCCTTGAGCCGTGTATCTTGGAGACCTATACTCCTACATATTGATCCATTTTCACATACTCCACCTGCATATTTTGGTACATTAGAACATGCATGAATGCTGCCAAGTATAGTCATTATGACCAACATAACTTCAAAATTAAGCATTATGTTGATGGTGGCAAAAGTAACTTTTTTTGTTATGGAAATAGAGAGAAATAGAGAAATGCATAAGTGGAAGTTGAACCTCTCCTCAAAACCTCATCAGAAGATAAGAATTTTATGGCACACCTAAAAAGAACTTTGAAGGTAAATCTGAGCTTTGGTAACTGATAAGGTGGTTTGACTTCTCCTGTTGGGTTTGATTACTGGAAATTCAAACATCATTGGATCAGTACTCCTTGTTTCATTGTAAATAGGAATTGTGGAGAGATTATCAAGGACTAAAAATATATATATGGGAATGGGGAGTTGATTAAGGACTTGAGGCAGGATTTCCACCTACATCAAAACTTCACAGGTTGAAGGAGTTAATTGATTTGCCTGCTGAGAAGGTGATGATTAAAACACAGAAGAGGACAAACAACCCATCTTTTATAACATTTCTCTAGCTATTGTACACAGTTTCAATCATCAAACCAATCACAGCATGTTTGGTCCACCAGAAACACTACCCTTGATCCTCCGACATGGTAACATTGAGCAGGAAGAACTTGAAGGGGGAAAATGATGAAATAATTTTAGTGTCAATCTGATCAACAAGGGCATAGCCCTGATTTTTGGGGTTTGAAGGGGGGGTTAAATAAGTGGGGCACAGATCTTGAATGAAATAAAAAGGGGGAAATACATGGTATCAATTCTCAAATTCAATTGAGGAAAAGAACAAAATCACAGCACATTCTTCTTGGGATTTAAGGTGAGAAATCAAAATTTCAAAATGTTTCAGCAAGATAAAGATTGTAAAGTAAGACTCTGATTATATATAGGGAACCACAAAATTTTAGATACTAGGGAACATCTCCAATTCACAACCTTAGTCTTAACTCCCCAATCCTAACCTCAGTTTCAGTCTCAACTCCCTAATCTGAATCATAACCTCAGCTTCAGGGCTGTTCACAATTCCATAAACTACCAATTGCTGTTCACAATTCCATAAACTATCCATTTGCTGTTCACAATTTCATTAACTATCAATTGCTGTTCACAATTCCATAAACTACCAATTGCTGTTCACAATTCCATAAACTATCCATTTGCCATTCACAATTTCATTAACTATCAATTGCTGTTCACAATTCCATAAACTATCAATTACAGATAAAACTGATTGAAACATTGATCTCCAAATGATGGGCCCATTTAAATCAAATTTAGCACACATGACGGTTGAATTTCAATTTCACAATTGCTGCTTTACATTTTTCAAAAATAGGCCCATAAGCAATCAACCAAATTTCAATCATTCATTTCAAATCTTCAAAAAAAAATAGTCTTCAACTAGAGACTAAATTGGCTACTGTGAGCCTGAGCCTCTCATGTGGCAGCAGGACACAAGAATTAAAGGGGAACTTCTGGATGGATTTCAAGGGAATAAAGAGATACAACCAGAAAGACAGAAAGAAATACATGAAGAAATGGAATGAAATAATATTTTTATTGGTTTTACATTTTAACTATAAAATTATCTACAGTCTTCATTTCCTCTTGTAGGATTACTGATAAGCTGTGTAACACTATCCTCTTCTACAAAAGAAAATGTGGAAGGAATAGGCTTGAAAATATCAGAAATAGCCACAATTTTTATATCAAAGATCAAGGCTCTTTGCAGGGAAACTTACATGGTTTTTATCAATACCACCAAACAATAGAATGATAATGGTTATTGGTTTGAGTAAAGAGAATTTGATTCAGAGAGAAAGATATGATTGAAGAACCAAAGAACCATATGCAAGACTCAGATAAAAATAGAAACTTAGAAAATCAAATCAACAACAAAGTTGTCAGCTCTGTGTATGCTACACTGGTTTAAATAATATAAAAACCAGGTGCTATCACTGTGCTGAAGGACTATCAAAGAAAAAGATTACTCTTTTTCACCCTTTATATGTGGTCCAAATTCCACAAAGGTTAAGTCCACACTCCTTTATGCTTATTTGTTTCTAATGAACCAAATAACAAGACATTATAACAATTAATAAATTGTTATAGTTTGGATTTTAAAGCAATAATAATTGCTAAGAAGCAGCTGGCAAGCACTTGAGCTGATTGGCTACTTGTCAGAGGTGGTAGTCTTGCAGCAACTGCTTTATAAGGAATTTTAGTGAGGGATCAAAGGGGAATTTCAAAGTTACACACTAATAATTCCAGTAGTAAAAGGTTGATTGGGTTTGGGATAACTACTCTAAAAGTAGGAGGAGAATATTCGCTGTACTTACTAAGTATGCTGTGGTTGAATATGCTGAGGAACCAATCTTAGGACAGGAATGGCCTCCTTTTATATTCTAGGGTCCCCCTTGGGGGCATTCTTAGAATATTCTAGAATGTTTATTTAATGTACTATAATATTAATTCTTCTCATGATGTAATGAGAATATTGTAGTAGATTAAATACAGTATTATCTATGTCCCCATGAAATTATGATGCATTGTTATAGCCAATTACATCATGTGTCTACTTATAATAGAATAATACTGATGGAAATTACCACACACTTAACAAAGGTGGTAATTTCTACACTTTGAATTATAGTTTAAATTTATAGTTGTAACTATAAATTTAATATTTGTTTTTATCTTTATTTTATATTATTTTTAGAGTATTTTATATTTTTATTCCTACTAACCTCTGAGGCTCTTGAGTTATGACAAAGTCCTAGAAGGAGTAGGAGTTTGGGGGTGGTTCCAGTGAGCAACCCCCTCTAAAATATTATGAAAAGTTCATTTATAAAATAATATTCTAGGTTTCTTATTATTGTTACAAGTAATATATTATTAAGCAGTCTTTTGGATACTCTTGAGGATCTCTAAGGCTGACAAAAGTTTACTAACTTTCAGAGTCCTAGCACAAGCACATAAAGGTAAAACTGGGAGTTTGTATCCTTTTTAAAATTTGAGCACCAAACAGTAACATGGTTGGTTGGTTTCTGGTGGTTCTGGTT